AGAGTGTCCCCGGTTTACTACAAGAAAAGCAGGGTTCCCAGAGTTTTCAAGGTACTACGTTTAAAAAGTGTTACCAGAGTGTGCGGGGTACTTAAAGGGACAGCGTTTCCAGATTTGTCACAGGTACTACAAGATAAAACAGTGTTCCCAGAGTGTAAAGGTACTACAAGTTTAAACGGGTGTTACCAGAGTGTCACGGTTAAAACTAGATAAACAGTGTTCCCAGAGTGTCACAGGGACTACAAGATAAACAGTTTTTCCCAGGTGCCCGGGTTACTCCCAAGATAAACAGTGTTACCAGATTTGTCACAGGTCTACAAGACAGGTTCCCAATTTTGTCAAAGGTATACAAGAAAAACAGTTTTTACCAAAGTGTAAAGGGTACTCAAGAAAAAACAGTTTTACCAGGGTCACAGGTAAAAAGAAAAAACAGTTTTCCCCGAGTGTCACGGTATTTCCCAAGAAAAACCTGTGTTACCAGAGTGTCACAGGTACTTAAAGGGAAAAAACCCGTGTTCCCAGAGTGTCACGGGACTACAAGATAAACAGTGTTACCAGAGTGTCAAAGGTTTATTTAAAAGATAAGCAGGTTACCAGAGGTCACAGGTACTAAAAGATAAACAGTTTTCCCGGGGGGTAAAAAGGTACTACAAGAAAAACGGGTGTTCCCAGGGTCACGGGACTACAAGATAAACAGTTTTGCCGGTGTCACAGGTTCTAAAAGGGAAAAACAGTGTTACCGGGAGTGCCCACGGTACTACAAGAAAAGAAGGGGTTCCCAGAGTGTCAGGTACTAAAGATAAGCAGTGTTACCAGAGTGTCAAAAGATACGCCCAAGATAACGTTTTACCGATTGTCACGGGTTTACTAAAAAGAAAAAAACAGGGTTACCAGAGTGTCACGGGTCCTACAAGATAAGCGTTTTTCCAGAGTGTTTCAGGTATTTAAAAGATAAACAGTGTTAAAATTTGTCACAGGTATCAAGACAGCGTTACCAGAGTGTCCCCAGTGACTACAAAAAAAAAAAGCGTTACCAGAGGTAAAGGGTTTACTACAAGATAAACAGTTTTTTACCAAAATGTCCCGGTACTTCAAGCAGCGTTACCAGGTGTCACGGGTTTATCAAGTAAAAGTGTTACCGGTGTAAACACGTACTTAAAGCCCGCTTTTTACCAGAGTGTCACAGGTACTACAAGATAAAAAAGTGTTCCCGGAGTGTACAGGTCTTAAAGGGACAGCTTACCGGGGAGTTTTTTTTAACCAAAAGGTTTACTACAAGAAAAAAACAGTGTTACCAGAGTGTCACAGGTTACACAAGCCAGCTTTTACCAGGGTGTCACGGGGGGCAACAAGAAAAACGCGTTACCATTTTTGTCACAGGTATAAAAAGATAACCCAGTGTTAGCAGAGGTCACAGGTATAAAAGACACCCGTTACCAGAGGTCAAAAGGTACTAAAAGAAAAGCAGTGTTCCCGAGGGGTCCAGGTACTCCCAAGGACAGCTTTTCCCCGAGTGTCATAGGGACTAAAAGAAAAACAGCTTTTCCGGGCCCGCCCAAAGGTACTCCCCAAGAAAAAAGTTTTTCCAGAGTGTCAAATGTATTCCCAGGAACCCGTTCCCAGAGTGTCACAGGTACTACAAGTTTAAACAGGTTCCAAAAGTGTCACAGGTACTACAAGTTTAAACAGGGTTCCCAGGGGGTTCACAGGTATCCCAAGAAAAACCCAGTGTTACCAGAGTGCCCGGTTTACTAAAAGATAAACAGTGTTCCCAGAGGTCACAGGAAACTAAAAAGATAAACGTGTTCCCCGGGAGTGTCCAGGTACAAACAAGATAAACGTGTTCCCGGGGTTGTCACAGGTATACAAAAATTAAACAGTGTTTCCGGGAGTGTCACAGGTTACTAAAAGGGAAAACCCGTGTTCCCAGAGTGTCACGGGGTACTAAAAGATAAACAGTTTTTACCAGGTTCCAGGTAAAACAGTTAAACAGTGTTCCCAGGTGCCCAAGGTACTGCCAAGATGCATTTTAATTTAGAAATGCAAAGTGCTAAAATTTTTGGACGGCCCAAAAACCAGTCATTTAAAAAACAAAAATATTTGAGATCTTAATACATTTGGATTGAAAAAAGGTTTTTGGGGTTTTTGGGTTTAAAGGCAGAAAAGGACCAAGAAACAGAAACCTTGTGTTCGCAAAAAAAGCAAACAGAATTCTTGGCTTCATATCTAGAATTTTAAAAAATTGAAGTCCTCGGTTGTTTTTCCCAATTTATTATCCTTGGTTAGGCCTCATTTAAAATATGCTGCGCAGTTCGGTCACGTATTACAGAATGGTTTTAAAATTTCTCAAAAAAAGTACAGAGGAGGATGAAAAAAGGATAAATCCATGTATCAGAAATTTTCCCCTTTGAGGATAACTAAAGGCCCTAAAATCTGCACTCTCTGGGAAAGATTTAAAAATTAGGTGGGATTGATCGAGGTTTTTATAAAGGGAAAAACGGGAAAAAATTTAAAGGGGATGTAAAGGGGGCTGAAAATACCCACCCAAGACAGGCTCGAACATTTTCTCAAAAACTTTTTCCGGGGACATTTCTTCTTCCAAAATTTTGTTTATATCTCGAAAATGCCTTATTCGATCGCCTCCAGATTTTCGACTCTTGATGTACTGAATCCTGGAGAAGATTCACAGGACTATGTACTTGTCTAGGTGTCCTATGGACAGTGTTACACAAGCAGAGGCAGACTGGCTATACGGGCATTTGGGCAGTGCCCAGTGGGCCACCGGGCTGAGTAAAAAAAAAAATCTGGGGTAGAGGAGTCCCTCAGCTGATAACGTCTCCAGCAGATCATAAAGGATAAAAAATGATTATAATAACCATTAATTTTTAAAGAGGTGGACCGGTAAGCCAGCGGAAGGCCTCAGTCAGATGACCAAAAGCTCCAGTTTCAGGAAATACTTGTCCTGTTTCTCGACAAACCTCCCAGGTGAAGTCCAGGATCTTTACTTAATTTATAGTATAACTTAACAACTGAGGACACCTGTGTTGGAGAACTTTGATCTTTGCTCAGTAGTGATATTTTTTTATTCAATAACTAAGGAATGTTTCTTCCGACTGGCTTCACTACATTCTGAACCTAACAGAAAAATATGTTTCATTGGGTTTTTTTATTATTAAATCATTGTAAACTTATCTAAAATATATTGAGCTGGATTAGGCGAAATTAAATTGCGCTCGTTATAATAAGGTTAGGTAAGTTTCCTAAGGTTCATTTGGTACAAAATCATTATTTTTTTATATTAACATAAATGAAAAAAATATATCTTTAAATGTATAAGAGAAAATTTTAAAAAGGATTTAATTTTAAATGAGTTCTTGCTAATTGACCAGTTTTACCTATTCAGCACAATATATATATATATATATATATATATAATATATATATTATATATTTTATATATATATATATATATATATATATATATATATATATATATATATATATATATATATATATATACATATATATATTTATATATTATATTATATTTATTTATTTATTTATTTCAACAAGTCGGCCGTCTCCCACCGAGGCAGGGTGACCCAAAAAGAAAGAAAATCCCCAAAAAGAAAATACTTTCATCATCGTTCAGCATTTTGACATCACTCATACATAATCATTGTTTTTGCAGAGCTGCTCAGATAAGACATTTTACATATCCCTCCAAACTGTCAGTATCCCAAACCCCTCCTTTAAAGTGCAGACATTGTACTTCCCATTTCCAGGGCTCAAATCCGGCTAACCGGTTTCCCCTAATCCCTTCACTAAATATTACCCTGCTCACACTCCAACAGCTCGTCAGGTCCCAAAAATCATTCGTCTCCATTCACTCCTATCTAACACGCTCACGCACGCTTGCTGTAAGTCCAAGCCCCTCGCCCACAAAACCTTTACACCCTCCCTCTAACCTTTTCGAGGACGATCCCTACCCCGCTTTCCTTCCCCTACAGATTTATACGCTCTCCACGTCATTCTCCTTTGATCCATTCTCTCTAAATGACCAAACCACCTCAACAACCCCTCTGACTAATACTTTTATTAACTCCACACCTCCTAATTTCCACACTTCGAATTCTCTGCATAATATTTACACCACACATTGCTCTTAGACAGGACATCTCCACTGCCTCCAACCGCCTCCTCGCTGCTGCATTTGCAACCTAAGTTTCACACCAATATAAGAGTGTTGGTACCATTATAATTCTTTGTCTTTTTAGTAGGCTATACAGGAAAAGGGGCCACTAGCCCATTGTTCCCGGCATTTTAGTCGACTTTTACAACACGCATGGCTTACGGAGGAAACATTCTTATTCCACTTCCCCATGGATATGAAAGAAAAAGCAATAAGAACAAGAACTATTAAGATAAAATCAAATATAACTCAGATGAGTGTGTATACATAAACGAGTACATGTATGTGTAGTGTGACCTAAGTGTAAGAAGTAGCAAGACGTACCTGAAATCTTGCATGTTTATGAGACACAAAAAAAGACACCAGCAATCCTAACATCAAGTAAAACAAATACAGCCTTTCTTTTTACACTCACTTGGCAGGACGGTAGTACCTCCCTGGGTGGTTGCTGTCTACCAAACTACTACAATAAATAATATATATATATATATATATATATATATAATATATATATAATATTATATATATATATATATATATATATATATATTTATATATATATATATATATATATATATATATATATATATATATATATATATATGTGTGTGTGTGTGTGTGTGTGTGTGTGTGTGTGTGTGTGTGTGTGTGTGTGTGTGTGTGTGTGTGTGTGTGTGTGTGTGTGTGTGTGTGTGTGTGTGTGTTGTGTGTGTGTGTGTGTGTGTGTGTGTGTGTGTGTGTGTGTGTGTGTGTAAACTGAGACTGTATAATATCTGATACTGTTATTCCGCAAAACATTATCACAACATTAAAAAAAAATACTAAAAGATGATGCGTAGGTGTAAGTGTCAAGCCGAGATCAGAAGAGGATTTTCCAAGTTATCACCCGTCAACCAAGTTATCACCCGTCAACCAAGTTATCACCCGTCAACCAAGTTATCACCCGTCAACCAAGTTATCACCCGTCAACCAAGTTATCACCCGTCAACCAAGTTATCACCCGTCAACCAAAAGGCCTCACATGACATTTCTTCCCATGTGCCATTGACTCTTTCCTTTATCACTGTGTCATGACACACCCTCATTCATCAGTGGGGCAGCGCCATCCTCCCCATATATGCCTGGGCGGGCTGTATCCTCGGGGAAGAGTTGGGACATAAGAGAATTGAAGATTTTCTCCTGAAAGTCGGCATCGTTCCACTCTTCTTGTGTGACGATAACAGTGTTGTGTAGAGTGCGGGTCAGAATCATCACTGCGTCCTCAATATCCTCTGCTGTGGGAAACTTCTCGCCGAAATTTAGGTCTATTTTGATTTTCTTGGTCTCTTGGAATACGTGATGGTTGATATCGGCTTCAATCAGCAGCTTGTTCTGGTAATTTTCTTCAATACCTGTACACCGTATATGGGTTACTCCCAGGTAAAAATGTGGGTCCATGTTGTGGGCGACCTCTGGCCTCATGTCATGCTGGGCAGTCTCAGGTCTTCTTTTCACTTGTTGGGCAGACTGTGGTCTCCTGTCATGCTGGGCGGCCTCAGGCCTCTTGTCATGCTGGGCAGCAGCATGCTGGGCCGCCTCAGACCTCCTGTCACGATGGTCTGCCTCAGACCTCCTGTCACGATGGTCTGCCTCAGGCCTCCTGTCATGCTGGGCGGCCTCAGACCTCCTCTCATGCTGTGCAGCAATTGGCTTCTTCTCATGCTGGGCGGCCTCAGACCTCCTCTCAAGCTGTGCAGCCACTGGCTTCTTCTCATGCTGGGCGGCATCATGCTGGGCGGCCTCAGACCTCTCATGCTGTGCAGCCATTGGCTTCTTATGCTGGGCGGCCTTTGGCTTCCTGAAACGCAGTTCGAAGTCGGGGCCCCTGTCATGCAGGTCGGCATCACGTTTCCTGGCCTGCATGACGAAGTCAGGTCTCCTCAAACGCAAGACGAAGTCAGGTTTGCTGGTGTCGTCAGACTCTGTGTCCTGCCTGGTGGTGTCATCGTTAGACGTTTCACGGTTGCTGGTGGTATCATTACATTTTCTGTACAGCCCAACTACTTCAGTCTTCCTGTCACGTTGAGCAGCATCAGGCTTCCTGTATACCTCTCCAGACGTGTCTCCAGATGAATCTTGGTCGAAAATTATAGTGAATGTTGGGCCGCCGAGTAAGGCTTGCACGAACCCCCGGTAGAAACTCATTACTTCAGTTTTCAAATGGTCAGTAATGTCTTTTTCAGAATAGTTTTGGCAGGTGACGCAGTCCAACAGCCAGAGTACGAGCAAGTCCACTTCTTCCTTTTCAGGGAACCTCTGACCTGTGTCCACTGAAACCCAACACGTCACTCTTTCCCTACTGGCTTTATCCCAGCATGTTATTTTAATCTTTATTTGATATCGTGATTTCTCTACTGACCCTTCTATCTGAACCGTGCGACTGTATTCAAGTTCATCAGAGTTTTCCGGAAAAGGTAACTGTTTAGAGTGTGTAAGTAGTCGCCCTAACTCAAAGAAAATTCGGGCTATTCCCTTAGGCTTTGTAATTGCTGATCTGATTTTAACTCTTACCACGCGTATCCTAGTGTCCTCCGTAAGGCATGCAAAGGCAGCCTCTGTAAGATCACCAGGGACAGCCTCTGTAAGGTCTCCAGAGGCAGTCTTTGGAAGATCACCAGGGGCGGTATGGTCACCAGACGCGTCCTTTGCAGGGTCGCCAGAGAAAGCCTGCGTAAAGTTTCCAGAGACAGCCTCTGTCAGGTCGTCGGCCTCTTTCCTTGCTGCGAAGTGAGGAAGCTTTGAGGTCTTGGCCACAGGTATGTACTCGAGGGAGGTGGACAGAGGCAGCTGGCCCCTCTGGTCTTCTACAGCTGCGTCGATAAGCGTTGGCTCCGGTCTTTTCAGCATTTTACTGTATAGGACAGTGAGGACTTCAGTGACGAAGAGGATCACCAGGATGCCACACACCACTAAGAGCTTGCTGGCCGCCACCCAAACACAATAGGGAAAGGGTGTCTCAGGAGGTCGCTCAGTACTGTCATACGGTGCAGAGCACTCAGGCCGTAGCCGATGACAGGTATATCCATGAAGACCCAGTGCCCTGAGCCAGGTATTTTGCCCAGAACCTCCTGGTACTGGCTTGGCTTCAAGGACATTTTCAGGAGATACTCCAGCTCGCCCATCCTCTGCTACATCAGGAGGGTGAGGACAGTCCACAACACCACCACCACCATCAAGTCGATGAGTGTAGTTAATATTTTCATATTCATTTATAGGCAAATTAAAATATCACCTTTTGGGTAAAAGTGATAACGAAACAAGTGAAGTGACGTGTAAAGGCTGAAACTGAGGATGGAGTCTTGAGTGTTGAACGAGATGATTATTGACCTTTGTTGTGCAGTATACATTGTTCAGGGTCCATCACAACCACCATTACCTACAATATCTACCCATTACCTACAACATCTACCCATTACCTACCACACCCATCACATCCACCCATTACCATACCTAAGCAACTCGACTTTATCACCACTGAACGTCACGTTGCTCTTCACTTTCCACTGGAAAACCCTGCTGATATCTTCTTGTAATTTTTCAGTGTCTTCTACCGTAGTGACTTTCATGCTAATTTTAGTGATATTTGCAAGTGATACAAAACTGTGACGGGTGTTTTTATCTTTGTCTGGTGCGAGGTAAACCTGGTCAACGATCTTCTGAGAACACCGGCCTGGGTGAGCGAAACGTAGCAAAAACTCTAAATCTTTTAAATGTTACTACTGTAATTCTTGCAGCGAATAACTATAACATAAATTTTTACCACATTTGGTAAATTTGACATCGTATTCACAGGAAAAAACCCTCTGATCTGCCTATTTATATACATAAAAAAAACCTCAGGAGTGTTAGCATGCCAGTTTGTAAACATATCCAAAAGGTTTAGCCATTTCCCAAAGCGTTTTGCCTTTTTCTTCCACTGGAATTTCAGTACTTATCAAAACACATCGTATAGAACTTTTGTAATATTTGTAATTAGCATTTCTCCAAAATGGGACCATATTTTCATCCTCAAAGAAATAGCAGAAGTACAAATGGAACAACTCGGCCACGGACCCTGTGGTAGTCACCCGGGACCACTCAGCTACGGACCCTGTGGTAGTCATCCGGGACCACTCAGCTACGGACCCTGTGGTAGTCATCCGGGACCACTCAGCTACGGACCCTGTGGTAGTCCACCCGGGACTCACTCAGCTACGGACCCTGTGGTAGTCATCCGGGACCACTCAGCTACGGACCCTGTGGTAGTCATCCGGGACGACTCAGCTACGGACCCTGTGGTAGTCATCCGGGACCACTCAGCTACGGACCCAGTGGTAGTCATCCGGGACCACTCAGCTACGGACCCTGTGGTAGTCATCCGGGACCACTCAGCTACGGACCCAGTGGTAGTCATCCGGGACCACTCACTACGGACCCTGTGGTAGTCATCCGGACCACTCAGCTACGGACCCTGTGGTAGTCACCCGGGACCACTCAGCTACGGACCCTGTGGTAGTCATCCGGGACCACTCAGCTACGGACCCTGTGGTAGTCATCCGGGACCACTCAGCTACGAACCCTGTGGTAGTCATCCGGGACCACTCAGCTACGGACCCTGTGGTAGTCATCCGGGACCACTCAGCTACGAACCCTGTGGTAGTCATCCGGGACCACTCAGCTACGGACCCTGTGGTAGTCACCCGGGACCACTCAGCTACGGACCCTGTGGTAGTCATCCGGGACCACTCAGCTACGGACCCTGTGGTAGTCATCCGGGACCACTCAGCTACGAACCCTGTGGTAGTCATCCGGGACCACTCAGCTACGGACCCTGTGGTAGTCATCCGGGACCACTCAGCTACGCACCCTGTGGTAGTCATCCGGGACCACTCAGCTACGCACCCTGTGGTAGTCATACCGGGACCACTCAGCTGCGGACCCTGTGGTAGTCATCCGGGACCACTCAGCTACGCACCTGTGGTAGTCATCCGGGACCACTCAGCTACGCACCTGTGGTAGTCATCCGGGACACACTCAGCTACGGACCCTGTGGTAGTCATCCGGGAACCACTCAGTACGGACCCTGTGGTAGTCATCCGGGACCACTCAGCTACGCACCCTGTGGTAGTCATCCGGGACCACTCAGCTACGCACCCTGTGGTAGTCATCCGGGACCACTCAGCTGCGGACCCTGTGGTAGTCATCCGGGACCACTCAGCTACGCACCCTGTGGTAGTCATCCGGACCACTCAGCTACGCACCCTGTGGTAGTCATCCGGGACCACTCAGCTACGGACCCTGTGGTAGTCATCCGGGATCACTCAGCTACGGACCCTGTGGTAGTCATCCGGGACCACTCAGCTACGCACCCTGTGGTAGTCATCCGGGACCACTCAGCTACGGAACCCTGTGGTAGTCATCCGGGACCACTCAGCTACGCACCCTGTGGTAGTCATCCGGGACCACTCCAGCTACGGACCCTGTGGTAGTCATCCGGGACCACTCAGCTACGGACCCTCGTGGAGTCATACCGGGACCACTCAGCTACGGACCCTGTGGTAGTCATCCGGGACCACTCAGCTACGCACCTGTGGTAGTCATCGGGACCACTCAGCTACGCACCCTGTGGTAGTCATCCGGGACCACTCAGCTACGGACCCTGTGGTAGTCATCCGGGACCACCAGCTACGGACCCTGTGGTAGTCATCCGGGACCACTCACTATGGACCCTGTGGTAGTCATCCGGGACCACTCAGCTACGCACCCTGTGGTAAGTCATCCGGGACCACATCAGCTACGCACTCTGTGGTAGTCATCCGGACCACTCAGCTACGCACCCTGTGGTAGTCATCCGGGACCACTCAGCTACGCAACCCTGTGGTAGTCATCCGGGACCACTCAGCTACGGACCCCTGTGGTAGTCATCCGGACCACTCAGCTACGCACCCTGTGGTAGTCATCCGGGACCACTCAGCTACGGACCCTGTGGTAGTCATCCGGGACCACTCAGCTACGAACCCTGTGGTAGTCATCCGGGACCACTCAGCAACGCACCCTGTGGTAGTCATCCGGGACCACTCAGCTACGCACCCTGTGGTAGTCATCCGGGACCACTCAGCTACGCACCCTGTGGTAGTCATCCGGGACCACTCAGCTACGCACCCTGTGGTAGTCATCCAGGACCACTCAGCTACGCACCCTGTGGTAGTCATCCGGGACCACTCAGCTACGCACCCTGTGGTAGTCATCCGGGACCACTCAGCTACGGACCCTGTGGTAGTCATCCGGGACCACTCAGCTACGGACCCTGTGGTAGTCATCCGGGACCACTCAGCTACGCACCCTGTGGTAGTCATCCGGGACCACTCAGCTACGCACCCTGTGGTAGTCATCCGGGACCACTCAGCTACGGACCCTGTGGTATCATCCGGGACCACTCAGCTAACGCACCCTGTGGTAGTCATCCGGGACCACTCAGCTACGGACCCTGTGGTAGTCATCCGGGACCACTCAGCTACGGACCCTGTGGTAGTCATCCGGGGACCACTCACTACGCACCCTGTGGTAGTCATCCGGGACCACTCAGCTACGCACCCTGTGGTAGTCATCCGGGACCACTCAGCTACGGACCCTGTGGTAGTCATCCGGGACCACTCAGCTACGCACCCTGTGGTAGTCATCCGGGACCACTCAGCTACGCACCCTGTGGTAGTCATCCGGGACCACTCAGCTACGGACTCTGTGGTAGTCATCCGGGACCACTCAGCTACGGACCCTGTGGTAGTCATCCGGGACCACTCAGCTACGGACCCTGTGGTAGTCATCCGGGACCACTCAGCTACGGACTCTGTGGTAGTCATCCGGGACCACTCAGCTACGCACCCTGTGGTAGTCATCCGGGACCACTCAGCTGCGGACCCTGTGGTAGTCATCCGGGACCACTCAGCTACGCACCCTGTGGTAGTCATCCGGGACCACTCAGCTACGCACCCTGTGGTAGACATCCGGGACCACTCAGCTACGCACCCTGTGGTAGTCATCTTGGGTCATTGTAGTGTAATTGCTTACTGGTGATGTTTCGCCCACGCATGAACTTCATAATTTCACATATAGATGAAGCAGATAAATACGTTTCTTCGCTGGTAAATACGTCGTCACTAGAGAAACGATTTAAACCGCATTTGCGTCTGTTTTAGCATCTTCTGAGTACTTTAAAACATTTCTCTCAAACAAGTGAACGTCAGCAAGCAGTCCTCATCAGAAGTAATACCACTGCTATGGCCTGCTACAGCTACCTGCTTACTGGTACTGAAGGGTTAAGCCAGCGGAAGGCATCGGTCAGATGACCAAAAGCTCCACCTGCGAGTCATCACATGACTAAGACCCGAGTCAGGAAACACTTGTCCTATTTCCTGACAAACCTCACCTAACCTAACCTAAGTTAGGCTGAGTTACTTAAGTGATCCTACTAACTTGCTAACCTGCAAGTTAGTGTTGCTGACTAGCTAATTAACTCTAACCTGCCGAGTGCTGCTGATCTGCTGAACACTGCCGTCATGTCAGCTGGTGCTTATACAACTAAAATCAAAATATTTTGACTAAAAATCCACTATTTTAAAGTCAAAATGGTGAACGTCTGTTTCTGTTGTACACTGATTTGATTTTTTTTTTTTTTGAATACGCAAAACATTGAAAAAATACGAAAAATGGGTTGAAATGTTATTTAGTTGGAAATTTCATTATTATTATTATTATAATCAAGGGGGAAGCACTAAACCCGTAGGATTATACAGCGCCTATGGGGGGATGGAAGGCATTCAGGCTTAATTCAGGGAACTGGAGCACAGATCCAATTCCCTAGATCAAGAGCCCCTCACCAGCTTCAAGGAGCCTTCCTGGAGGGGTTGGAAATATCAGCTGTCAGCGCATGTCGTCTCTCCCGTCGTCTACCAGCAACAATATACACACAAACTGTCAACAAATCAAGATATAATTTACTTTTGATACATTAGCTGCTTCCACATTAAACAAACTCACGGTATATATTAGTTGAGGACAACACTTCTCAGTGTATATTCTCTAAGCATGTACTATTTAACCTAGTACCTACTGCCTTTTATCTAGTACCTACTGCCTTTTGTCTAGTACCTACTGCCTTTTGTCTAGTACCTACTGCCTTTTATCTAGTACCTACTGCCTTTTGTCTAGTACTACTGCCTTTTATCTAGTACCTACTGCCTTTTGTCTAGTACCTACTGCCTTTTATCTAGTACCTACTGCCTTTTATCTAGTACCTACTGCCTTTTGTCTAGTACCTACTGCCTTTTATCTAGTACCTACTGCCTTTTGTCTAGTACCTACTGCCTTTTATCTAGTGCCTACTGCCTTTTATCTAGTG